CAGGAAGAGTGTATGATCCCTGCTTTTCTACTAAAAAATGTGAGGCAGCAGAAGTCCATAGAATCTATCAAACACTGGCCTTGAATAAAAGCCAATTAAACAGAATGAGAAATTTACTTTTTGTAAAACAGTTGTAGAGTGTAAGAGCATACTGTATAATCTACACATGATATGTAACTTTTAGTTTAATGTGAGATTTATCAGTTTTAAAACTTGAGAGGGTTAGCAACTCTCTCCTTAACCACTGCCTTAACATACCTAGGCAGGTCATTTGCTCATTATACGAGTGTGTTATGGTATAATGTTTACTATAATTTAATATCATGCTTAAGCATTTAGTGATTAGGATAAATAGTTCTAATCTAAAATTGAAAACAAAGTAAGTAAATGGCATCGTTACTGTTGTTGAGCCCTTAAGAGAACACTGTGCCTTTCTCCATCAGCTAGAGAGGCATGGAAGCTTACAGCTATCCAGAGCATAGCTGTACCCTAAAGTTAAGAAGGGAGTTCTTTAACTGTTTAAACCTTTTTCTGATTGACAATTCTGTTTTCAAACAAAAGGGGAAAATATCCTCTTGATGTGGAAGGAGACAATTGCTGCTCACACCTTTTGTCCCATGTACTTCATACAGCCTAGCCCTGAATGAAACACTTTTTGCAGATTATATTTAGGAACTTCTTCTTAGATGTGAACTAAAGTAACCTATGTGCTTTAGATAAAGAGTTCAGAACATAATACAAAAATAAATACTGGCTGAACACAAATCAGATCTCTCTGTATGATATACTTTATATATCCATGCCTTAAGGTAACATTAAAACAAAAGCAAAGCTCATCCATCAGCAGTGCAGGTTACTTTTTTGGGTGGGCATATGGGGGGAAAATGACCCCAGAAACACCGTTTCTTTTAATGGGTCCTCATTGCCTCAGATTATTATTTTTTTTTTTAGCCTTTAAAAGGCATAGGATCTTTGAAAGCTTGTTTCCACGTACTGGTATTTTATGACAGTGTGAGAAAACAAAGCATTTTTATTTTAAAGTATAGAATAAGAACCTCTTCTCTCCTTTTAAAGTCTCTCAGTTACATGGATACGTTTACATCTACCTCTGAAGTATATACAGCATTTGAATCGATACCAGAAAACAAAGTGTGTTTCTTTATGTAACCAAATATACCTTGTCCTCAGAATAGTAACTCTTTCAGGAAATAACTTTCAAATTATGTCAATTTTGTGAGCTGATCTTAAGCTTTTTTCCTGTCCCTCTACTTCTCTTTTCATCCTTCTAGATTTACATTTTTTATGGCACTCGGTCAAACGCTGAATTTGTGATCCACAGTGGTTTTTTCTTTGATAATAATTCACATGACAGAGTGAAAATAAAGCTTGGCGTGAGTAAAAGTGACAGGCTGTATGCTATGAAGGCAGAGGTCTTAGCTCGTGCTGGTATCCCAACGTAAGTAAAACACAATGCCATGGATTTTTTAAAACATTTCCAAAGTATATAGTGTCCAGTACAGGATTTACAAAGCTGTTCTATGATAGTTTTCTTAAGTGTAGTATTTCTCCTGTTTGTATAGTAAATTAAAGTTATTGTAATAATATTTATAGAAGTTCTCTGAGCTATATTATCATCTAATTTGGACCATATATAAGGAAAAAAACCTTTGCTTTAATAACCATTTGAACAAAAACAGAGGAAGGATTAATTTGAAACAATCCGTGTTTTTTCTTTCTTTCCTATCCCTTGCAGACATACTAGGATGCTCAGTATGTGAACCACAGCATTTTCCTTTAGTCTTTTCAGTCCAGAGGGTACTGTTAGGAGCAGCAGACATGAGACATTACATTTTCATGAATTTATTATGAAAGCCGTGTAAAAATAATTGTAAGTGTAAAATTGTAGAGATAATCGTTCTTTTCAGACAAGCTAGGGAAGCTTTACTTTAGTTTGAACTAGTATTACTTAATTTTTTAACAGTTACTTTTGTAATAGTGCATTTGTTGTATACTGTAAGGTCTTCTATGTTGAAATAAGTTCAAAGGTATGATAGTAGAACTTGCATTTACTGTTGTTGTTTGATTGTTTCTTTTATTAGTTCCAGTGTTTTTGCCTTGCACTCCACTGAGCCTCCAATCTCTGCCCAGCTTTTGGCTTTCCTTCGAGTGTTTTGCATGAGTGAAGGTAAGATGCTTTATAAAGATAACTTAATTTACATTTGTTTTGGGGGTTTGTTTGTTTTAATGCAGGAATGTGACAGACATTTATATAAAACATTAAGCTAGAAGATCACAGAAGTTGAGGAGTTGAGGTTAAAAAGGGATCTATAAGCTAGAGAGAAACCCAATCTTTGACCATGTTGTCTGAGGGAATATTTCAGTAAGAGGCCTTTCTGGAACTCCCGAAGCATGAGGTGATGCAATTTTATTTTTTTAATCTCCCAGGCTGTTGTGAATGAGTGAGCTTTGGAGCTTGATCTTTAGTTCTTAGGTTTTAAAATGGTTCACAGAACAAGATCATGTGAGACCTAAGGGTTTACATGCTTAAAATCATAGCATGTTAACTATCACTGCTAGAATCATTTAGGTATGGAATATTCTGTACTGTAGGGGAAGTATAGAAGAGACATTTCAAAGTTGAGTATTTTCAATATTTTGGTAATTCATGATCTAAAACCAACTTATGTATTTGCAAACTGTCTTTGTAGTGTTTCTCATATGTTAGGGTTTTTTGGGGGAAAATATGTGTACAATTAATAAATAATCACCTAATTTGTGCAGCTGAAACTTCTGATTAAATGTTTGTAATAGCTGCTTGCTGGTTAGATGCTGTTTTGGAGGTTATAGATGTGACAGTTTTTCATGACAGTGGGAGAATTCTCTTGCAGTTAGAGATACTGTGCAGATGATATGGATTTTAATACTAGTAGGAATAGTGAAGTAGTTATGTTTTTGTATGTGCTCTATTTGCTTTCTTTAATAAAAACAACCGACCTTATTTAGTGTAATGCCTTCACTGCATCCTGCCATCCTTCTTTTAGAACTTATTAAGAAATTAGAATAGAATAGTTTAGTTGGAAGGGACCTACAACAATCATCTAGTCTAACTGCCTGACCACTTCAGGAAAGTAAATTCAAGTAAAGAAAATTTTAGGATGCTGATGAGGGGATGAATTTTGGCTCAGAGAAGAAAAGATAGCTAGTGGACATTTTAATTGCATTTCTCTGACATGTGGTTGTGCTCAGATTATTCATATGTCTTCAATACTGTATAAGAAAACTGTTTATTGAGAAAATACATGGAATTGATTTGTGAAGTTTGTGATAGCTACTTTGCAGGTTGAAATTTGGTAATTAAAAGATTAATGAAATTTGTATAATGTCAATGAGCTGATTAAACATTTTCTGCTCTGTGTGAGGTTTGTTTGATGGATGTCTTTTCTGACCAACCATAGGGAGTTTCTGCTACTCAAAAAGATTAGCAAAACAATAGGAAAAAATATTCCATTGCTATTTGCACACTCTCTGGCCTGTTCCTTTTATTATCAAAAAGTTCACTGAACTCTTTAAAGAATTACTCCCTTTTTTTTTTCTCAAGTGTTATACAAAACATTCCATCTCACTGTCACAGAGTTACGCTGTGTTTGAGAGGCTATATGTAAAGTATCTTTATTTCCCAGTGGAGCAGAAGGTCCATTTTCTGCTAACCTCAAGATTTCCAGTTGCCTCTCTGAGGAGAATCCTAGAAATAACCAGCATATCTGATAATTCTTATTTGAGGAGAGGGTTTTTTGTTAGCTGCTCAGAGCTATGCTATTGAAAATAAATCTTTCTGCAGTTTGTCAACTGACAAAGTGAATGATGAGATTGGTTTTTAACAGATTGGTTTTGTACTTATTTCAGAAGAGCTGAAGGAACACCTAATAGGCGAGCATGCCATTGACAAAATCTTCACTCTGGGGAACTCTGAGTTTCCCATTAGCTGGGACAATGAAGTTAAACTTTGGACATTCCTAGAAGCCAGAGCATCCCTTCTTTTGAAAACCTATAAAACAACTGTGGAGGTAAAATTATCATTATATGTAATTTAAATGTCTGAGGTATTCTGTGTTATGATTGTAGGAAAAGATATTGTGTCCCCCATCTTGTCTTTACAAACTTTAATCTGAATGTTAGTGCATAATTCATTCTGTACTTTTTAAAGTGTAGAAACAGATTTGCATTATCTAAGGAAAATCAAATAAGATTGCAAAAAAGAAAATTTTGTTAATGTAATTTTGTTAATGTATTTTTTCTTTGATTATCCAAATAGAGGCTACCTACTTTTTCTCTGCAAGGAAAACAGGGAATCAGTTTCAACTTGTTGTCTATTAGTTGCATACTATAGACTGCGAAGAAATGCGCTACTATTGCAAGCATATAAGTGAACCTACGTGCTTTGTATATTTGTGAAATCTCCTGACTTTGCTTGTTATGCAGGCTGATCTGTGTGGAGAAATTTTTGGCTTCTTTATGAATTCTTGACAAATTTCAGTGGGACTCCATGCAGACCCCCTCGTGCATATATGTCCATGTGGCTCAGCCTGAAGAACCTAGTGTCACTGTTACTGTTAACATATATAGAGAAAAGTTGAGGGATTTTTTTTTTGTGTGTGTCTTGGTTGTTACTGACAATCTTGCCTTTTCTTTCCTAACAGGAGGATAAGTCCTTCTTGGAGACCAATGACCTTACTTCACATGCCATAATGGCTATCAAATTGCGCTTAGGTGAAAAAGAGATATTGGAGAAAGCAGTAAAGAGTGCAGCTGCTAGCAGAGAGTATTATAGCAAACAAATGGCAGATGGAGCTCCGCTTCCTAAATATGAAGAGAGCAATATTGCCTTGTTGGAGAACACTGTGGCAGACTCTAGACTCCCTATTGTCTTGAGAAACCTAGAAGATGTGGAGGAGCAAGGGGACTTAAAGATTGATGAAGCTATTGATGCTGAAGTCACAGAGAATGGGTTTGTAAATGGTGAAAACTCTCTATTTAATGGGACCAAATCAGAAAGTGAAAATCTAAATAAAGAGAAAAGCAACAGAGAGACTGAAGATGCCAAAGAATCTTCTTCAGAAAGTACTGATGAGGTTAAAGAATAGTCCTAAAATTTTTCTTTCTTGTGAAATTAAATTAGCTGAAGTTTATGAACAGTGCATTTATGTTGGTGTGTTTCTTTGTTAACATTTCTCTTTCTGCAGAGAAAAATGTTTTTGCTGCTTTATATAAAAATGAATTTTTAAGTTATTTAAAAGATTTAGCATCTCTTTTCAATTAAGATTGCCATCTTGCTTTCAGGCAAAAACTGGGGAAAGAGGTGCCTTTGGAAGATTTTGCAGCCTTTTGTTGAACCAAATGTATTTTCTTCCTGGGGAAGAATTAAGCTCTTCTATCTGCTGTGCTTTTGCTGTTCTGTCACTCTGACTACCGAAATTAAAAGCTTGCTCTGCCTCCTGCCAAGAAAAGCAGAAGGCAGGACTGACTCGGTATTCAGCATGAAGGTGGGAGAGCAGTACAGCAGAAAGCTGGATAAGAGGATCAGAAACTTGGGAGACTGGAGGAAAACCTGTTTAAAATCAGGTATGCCAGTCCAGAAAAAGGTAAGGTGGCAACCTTATGATTGATAGTTTTAAATGTTGATGAGAATCCAAATTGTATACACTTAAAGTGATCTCTGAAGATTTCAGTTTACTTTGTCTTTTGTTTACTGTATGAAAATATCTCATCTTTCTTCTTTAGTCAGAGTTAGGCTGCTACAATACAACATTCACCAACTTTTAAAGGCTGACTTCTTTTTATTTCCAGGCGGTACCTTTTATTTACAAGGTTGGCAGTGCTACTCAAGAGTTTGAAAGCAGATAGGCCAAGCCACAGCTTTAAACTTTACTGTTCAAAGTGAGGTCGCTTCCCAGCTTCTTCAGGTTTTCACAACTAGCTAGAGATTTTCAAAGCTACACTTTTGACTAAACCATTATTAAAAGGAAAATATGATTAATATTCCTGTCTGCTACTCCTTCATTTCTGTGTTGTTGGATGTAACATTGAATGTGACATGGTTACCTGATCTTACTCAGCTTTGTCTTTTAAGATACTAATTGTTGCTGTTTTCTTGAAGGAAATGGCAGGCAGGCTAATGTATTTTTGGCCCAAGTCCAGACCACAGCCAAGCCTGCAGTACGCTTTGCCATTTAGACTGTGTCTCTGTCTGATGCACATTTCTTGGGATACTTACACAAGTTAAGCAGGTCTACCATCTGCAGCAGTTTTGGTCACCCTCATACTGTATGTTTTAACTTCTAGGTGGAAACAATACAATCCTAGCACAGTGCAATATCAGAACAAGGGTAATTCCAAGGCTTGACTTTGAAATTACCTGGGTATTGGGAGGAGAGGAGGGCGGAATGTTTTTATTTTGTGGGTGAATGGGGAGCAGTATAAAGTGATTTAATTCTGTTCTCAGTATTAAGGACTTCATCTTTTACCTTTGTATCCTTAAGTTCAAGATAATGGATGGAATGGACAAGCTTGGACAATTGTTTAAAGCTCAATAGGTGTTGCAACCTTCTCATCCAAGATCAGTTGCAGTAAAATGTCTTTTGGCATATTCATAGTTTTATTAGATTTTGCTTCTTTTATACTGCAACTTGGAAAATGTGTTTTTGCATAAATCTTTGGTGCAATACACATGATAAGTAGTGACTTTCTTTCAGGTTGTCATCGCAGTTTTGGTATTCAGCTAGTATCAGCGTGGGGAAAATAGAAAAAATAGTTTTTTAAAAAATATTTCACTAAGAATGGCATGTTGCCATTGCACCTTGGATACTGCTTCACCACTAACAAGTTGCTGGACCAGTATTTTTCTAACTATATGCTGCCTTTGGTAGAATGTTATGAATTGTCTTGACAGTTTAAATGTCATACAGAAGTCATTACATTTCGGTTTTTGCTAGGACCAATATTCCATTTCTGTTTCTGCCACTTACATTGCACAACATTGTACTAGATACTATGATGCAATTATGAAACTAGCCTTCCCTGAAAATTATAACTGTAAATCAGAATTTAAATGCTTTGATTCAATCTGATACACTGTATTTTGTTTCAGTATTTGCTGATATCTATGGCTTAGCAAAACCTGTGGTCACCACAGGACAGAATGTGTGGGTTTTCTTGAATAAAATATAGTTCTACCATGTCTTCCCTAGTGAGTGTATTATACAAACAAAACCTCTACCTGCTACTGACTGCTGTGTGTTTTGGGGTCTGTGGGGAGAGGAATAACTGTCCGGGTATACAGATAAAGATTAAAGGAGAAATAGCTGACCAAAAAAAGAAAGAAGGATTCTAGTAAACAGAAAGGGAAAGCGGTCTATTAAGCGCATGGTCAAATTTTTACTCTTCATCTGTTAGTGTTATTTAGAAAAATGTTGCACACAATAAAAATAGTAATCTAATTTTGTAATTTGCATTTTTCCTCTATGCATGTAATGGTTCTCAGAAGCACTAACCTAAAACTTAAGCTTTTGAAAACTGAGGTGGAAACAAAAAAATTGGCACTGATGAGCCCTTATTACCATCTGTCATGAAAACAGACCTTTCAAAGCATTTTAAAGTTAACTTTCTTAGTAATGTTTGGTTAAGAGGCTGTTCACACTAATCCCAGGCTAAATGCCAAATCCTGCTTCTGTTTAGCTAGCTATCTGAAGTATTCCTGTAAGAAAGACATCACTTGGATTTCTTGGACTGTTCTCCAGAAACAAAATGGGGGGAAAAAAAAACCTTTTGAATTTTACATGAACCTACCTACTGATGAATCATTTCCCTAACAACCTATATCTACTTTGGCTCTATACTGCAGGACGATTTCCATATAGTCCTGTTGACAAAGTTGAATACACAAAATTGAGCAACAACCTCCACTCTGCAAAAATGCATGTAAAGGATATAAATGCAACCTTGGCTTAAGTGATGTCGTGAGTAAATGAGAGCTGAGAGCCTTCTGGCTGTGGAGCTAAGATGGTTTAGGACCTTGGCTAAAATAAGTAGTGTTTTAGCATCTTTGCTAAAATAAGTATTCCTTCCTTTGGACGTTGTTAAGAGGTGGTGTGTACGGAAAACCTATGCAACTCAACAGTAGCTGCATTCTTGAGCCTAATTTGCCTGTAGGGCAGAATGATCATCATGGAGCCATGAAACTTACAGGTTTTAAAGGTAGACTGGAAGATTTAGGTTACACGAACTTCTTCTCTAGTTCACATGTTTAGAAACAGTATTTAATAACTACTGCTGCCACTTATATCACCTTTATTTTATAGAAAGACATGTGAAGTAATTATCAAACGTAATTTGAAGTGTTTCAGTCTGACACAATAAAGGTGCTCCCAAAATCCACTGCTCTTTTCTGATTTTGTGGACTGAAAGTCAGTCCTTGCTATTTCTCGTACTCTGTGCAAAACAGGTGTCTTCAGAAAAAATATTGCTCTACCAAATTTATCGAATGAAGCAACACCTATTCCTTTTTCTCTAGGAGATTTTTAGCTGATCCTTGTTGAAGTCAGATATGACCACATGATTTTCACATAATTACCATCTATATTTAATAGTTTCTAACATGCTTCCTTCTTCAAGTGTGTTGCTTGCTGTACAAAGTACAGCACATAAATTGGTGACTCATGGTTAGAAGAGCTTCCTTAGCATTTCTCGGTTTCTACATCTATTTCCTAACGCATGCCACTAGTTTGGAAACCATGTGGAGGATTTTTCAGTTAAAATAAAAAAGCCGCATTCCATACTTAAGGAAAAAAGCCACAAATGGTCCTGGATTCTTTTGGGTTTTATGTCTCCTTAGGTTCACTGGTGTATTCAGTGTATTTCAAAACTGACTGACTGCTATAGAGTTAGTGTACATGACATAACCTTAAGCTTTAGTAATACAAATGAGATCTATGATAATTTGTTCAATGAAAACACAAACTGAAATTTTGATGAATGCTGAAGTGCCATCCTATGGTACCAAGCAGAAACCAAAACACCCAGTTTTTTCCTTTTTTTTGTAGCCTTTTGCTGAATATGGAGTGCTCTAGTATTACATTCCTGGTTTATCGGTAAAAGGCTTTGAAATACGCTTGAATAAGCCATTTTATGTAGTGGCGTACATTAAGTGGTATATGGTACTCGTTACTTCTAACAAAATATGATTTTTGCCTTTATGCTGTGTTCATTAACAATTATCTTTATTTTCAGTGTACGTAGACATCAAACTTCACTTATAAATTAAATAATATCTTTTTTTTTTACATTGGTAGCAGCATGAACTGGACCTGTCAGTTTACAAAAGCAATCAAGTTGATCATCAGTGTTTGTATTGCCCAGAAAGTGTTGCACAGTCAGTACTGGAGCAGTTGGAAACCAGAAAGCATTTGACTTCTGCCTTTGTGTCTCATGCTAGGAAGTCCTAACAGCAGGAGCTGGTGCCATTTTTCATCATGAAAGATTAAGCTAGATAGGAGAGGAAATAAAGGAGATGTCCTCTTTTAAGTGGAAAATAAAAGCTGGACAACTGAACACTAGCTAGCTTGTGTCAGAGGCAAGGGTCACTATCATGAAGAATAAGAAGTTTAGGAATTATTTCAGTGAGTGTTCAAAAAAAGAATATTTCCAATTAGTACTGTAATTACTGTGGATTTTTGATTTCACAATTAGGCAAGGCCTTCACTTTCCCTAGGAACAAGTGAAAACATATGAATTACAAACTGTTGTAATGTGTTAAACTGGCAGTGAAGAACAGATGCAAGTGGCTGCTTGCCCTGCTGAGGGCAACCTGAGTGAAGTCTGGGTTGGAGTCACTGCTGTCCATTAACTTGCTCCTCTGCCATTGTGGGAGAACTACTCAGCACCAACGGGCTAAGGAAAGGCTTTATCAATCCAGCATGGAAGGATTGGACAAAACCACAGAGAGCAATATGAAAATAGAAGACAGTGGTGTATTCAGGACACTCACCTGAAACATAATGTGTCTAGACTTAGGGACATTTGTCCACATAATATTTTTGAGTACAGGACTATTCTATTATATAAAGTTGATCAAGCACAGAAGAGGCTTTTGAACCTGAGTCTTCCATCTTCCAGGTGATTCTTTCTGTTGACTGTGCTCTGAAATCCTTTTATTTTTGTTTTTCTGATTTTTATTATTTAAAGATTTTTGGGTACATTCATGCAGTTGTTTTTTTTTTAATTCCCAATTTGGAGAAACTAGACAATCATTTTCTAATTAAATCCAGTTCAGATATGGCAAAATAGGTAATACTGACCACCACAACTTGTGCCTTTGAGCAGCTTGATGTGAATTGGAGTGAAATAGATCTGTAACCCTTCAAGACTTAACTTTGCTTCTTCAGAAAGGTATTTAAAATCTGCGTGAGGATAGGGAATAAAATCTTGCATGTGTGAGCAATGTTGGTTTCCCAGCTGAATCACCGTTACTTACGCACAGATTCAGACACCAGCAGAATTAGATAATTGGACTTAAATGCTTAGCATTTTATTTAATATTAAACATATATTGTTCTTGAAAAACGGGTCAACTTGACAGCCCTGAACATACAAGTCATTTGCCCTTTGAATAGAATCAGTGCAGGTAAAAAGGAAGTTTCCCTGTAGCATCCCACACGTGGCAAGACCAAGAGTAGATTAATTCCAGCGTGGTGCCTTGTTTTACTTACAGGTGTCACTGGCCAGGTAGCCTCTTGCTTTGTGTCAGGCTGGGGCCACCTACCCGTTCCCTAGATGCATTTGCTATCCATAGGAGAAATACTGGCTGTCCTCCTGGTGAATTCATATGTGTTTGACAAGGTGGTGTCATGTTGTGCTGCTGACTTAGATCTGTGCAAATAGAGTTGTTTGGGGGTTTTTTGCTTGCTTTTTGTGAATGCTATTTGCTTTAAATATTCTGCAATTTGTTGTTGTATTTACAAAGTTGTTTGTTTCTCC